CCAGCCCACTCCGAATCTCCGTGTAACCTGCCCCGTCTTCGGAAGGCTCACCCCGTTGCCAACGACGACAGTAGGCCTCGCCGCCAGCCTCCTCCTGGCCCTCCTCCGGCCGATCTCCCTCCCGTCCCCGGGGAGGCAGTCCTCCAGGGAGACCGACAGCACCCTCCCGGCCTCCCTCTCCAGGGGGGAGCCGTGGGGCGGCGTTGGGCCCTCGCTGCCGGGTGAGCGGAGGGCACCGTGCCCGGGCCGGCCCCTCTTCACCGCGGGTGGCAGCGGGGTGTTGGGGGGGCTCGGCTCCCGGGCCTGGGGGGTCCGCGGTGGGGAGGCGGGGGGGAGATCCAGCGCCTCTCCCGGGGCAGGCCGAGGGCTGAAAGGAAAACAGAGACAACAGAGGGTTAAGCTCTCTCTCTCTCTCGACCCCCACCGAGGCAATGCGACCCTGCCTCCCCCTCCGACCAGTACCTACCTGTAGAACCTCGAGCACAGTCTCTTACTGGCCCTGGCCTCCAGGCTCTCGCTGTGAATACGGGGCCTGCGAAGGGTGACGTAGGATGGGACGAGGCCGCCCAGAGCCGGCTCCATGGCCGGAGGTAGGAGGCAGGTCCGTGTCTGTGCCCCCCCTCTCCCCCCCCCAAGCGAGAGGAGGGGACCGTGCGCGGGGTGGGTCTCAGAGGAAGCCCCGGTAAACGATGGCCACCACCATCCAGCGAGAGGCCACGGAGAGAGTCCTGCAGAAAGATGGGAGAACACACATCAGCATAGACACACGCCTCCCCGTGCTCTCCCCCCGCAAAAATCTATCCGTCTCCCGCACTCTCCCCGTGTCCCTCAGTGTCTCCCCACAAAAATGTATCCATCTCCCAGTCTCCTGCACTCTCCCCGTGTCCCTCAGTGTCTCCCCACAAAAAAGAGGTGTTATTCAGGCTACGGCTTTACAGCTCGGTAAATCAGAGAAATGGAGTCCCACCCACGTCCTTAGCTCCCACTCCCCAGGGCCTGTGGTCTTCCCCACCCCCTCATCTGTCCCTCGATGAGGAGCCCTGCCAACGGCTCCTCTGTAACTCTACACCTCTGCCCACTATCTGGTGACCAGATGGTCCCATCCACCATCCCTCCACCCACGCATCAACATCGTCTAGCTCTCCCCTCCCCATCTCACCCACGGGCTTTACCACACCCTCTGCCTGCCCCCGACCAAGGCCAACTGATCAGTCCATCTGTCCTACAGCGAGGGAGAGAGAAAGGGGGTGTGTGAGAGTCTGTGCGTGCGGGAGAGTGTGTGAGAGTCTGTGCGTGCGGGAGAGTGTGTGAGAGTCTGTGCGTGCGGGAGAGTGTGTGAGAGTCTGTGCGTGCGGGAGGGTGTGTGAGAGTCTGTGCGTGCGGGAGAGTGTGTGAGAGTCTGTGCGTGCGGGAGGGTGTGTGAGAGTCTGTGCGTGCGGGAGAGTGTGTGAGAGTCTGTGCGTGCGGGAGGGTGTGTGAGAGTCTGTGCGTGCGGGAGAGTGTGTGAGAGTCTGTG